TCGCTTCTAATGGAGCATATTTTGAAGGAGATAAAATAAATATTGATGAAGATTAAGAATTTTGCGTTTTATTTAATTTATTCCGGAAACTTTTCGGTCACAATGTATATTCAGATGTTCTATGGATTATGGTGGCTGGTACTGCAGCTTGACTATATATTCTTTATATAAAACCTGCTTACTAAAAGGATCTTTATAAACTTAACTATAAACTTTTTCTGTGTTACATGTAAAAGAAGTCAGCCAAAATATTTTCGTAATTAGATAATTAATAACCAAACTGCTTTAACAGATTATTTGAGAGGTCGTGAATACAATATAGACAATTAAATATTGATTCGTTCCAAAAACTTTGAACCTTATTTTTCGGAAGAAGTTTTGACATGATAAAAAATCTTTGATAATTAAGAAAATGGAAAAAAAACGTGACAAAAAATACATTGGCAAAAAATCTTAAATAGTATTTTGGATGATGTATTATACATCTACAAGCAGTAATAGATCTATCGCAGCACCTATTCCAACTAGTGCAACAAATAAAAAGATTGTTTAAGACAGCTAAGAAAAATGGGATTGATTACTTTAGAGAGTTTTATTTATTGAACATTATTAATGAGACAAGATTCTAATAGAAACAAATCATTTTTAGTTAAGCAAGGAATATTAATTACCAGTAATAGAAACAATAAACAAATAATACTTGGATAAGAAACTAACAAGTAGTCTCCAAATTATTGAAATACAAATGAAATCTTCTAGTAATAATAATATTTGTGCATTGGTTGGTGTGAAGTAAGAAGTATGAATCTTCTTACTAAATACTGATAAAATCGAAGATAATTCGATTACATTAAGCTAGTAGTGATAAATTATTAACAGTAATGATAAATAATGTAATATATATAGAAATGATAAATAATGAATTGTACTTGTAGGATGATTGTAGAATCTCAATAAATTTTGTTAGGTGTGTCCTTTAGGTGTTGTTTTAGCTCTGTATCATATATTGAAATTTTAATTTACAAGAAAAATGATATAATTTTTATTTTTTTTTTATAATTTACTCTGAATGATTATTATAATACCTTAATCCCGATAATGATACATTCCCTTTGAGGAGCACTTATCACGTAGACTAAAGCCCTTATTAATTTTTGAAGATGGTTCCATTGCTCCTTTATTTATTTATAGTATTTCTGTGTCTGTTTTGAACATTTATGAATATCACTCTCTAGTAGAGTTGAGCATTGTGAATACTTAGAAACGCTACTAGATCATTCCTCTCAGCCTACTGCTTACGACCTCCAGTGATATTAAATTAAGGTCATGATATATTAATTAAATAAAATATTTATAATCCAAATAAAATAATTCTTCAATGTAAAAAGATTTCACAAAAAAACAATTTAAAAAAAAAATTATTTATAAATATTTGACTTACAATAAAACAAGTGTAAAGAAAACAAAGCAAATCGTATAACTTATTGTTAATATTGTTTTGGATACAGGTGGGAAGCATGCATCAAAACTATTTTTTTAATTAGAAGTCGTTCATCTAAGAAAGTTGGCAGTCAGAACTACAGTCTTTACTTTTACTATACATTTTGATCAAGTTGTGATTGAAAATTGTATTAATTTTAATTAAATTTCAATGCAATTGAAATTTTATTTTCTACCACATTGTGCATATTTACTTTAAGGAATTTTCCTATATATTTATTGATAATTTTCATATCTTGTTTTTTATTACGTGATGCTTACTTAACAATTTTTCAGCTCATTTAATTACAGAAGTTAGCTACTTTGATATAAAAATGCGCTTAAAAGCATTTTCATTTTTTAATTTTCTACTTGTTAATAATAATATTTAATTTCATTTTTCTTCTTGCAGATTTTTTAACTAACGATGAAAAAATGCCACAGGCGATTCCAAACCCAATGGGTAACGCTGACGACGAAGCCGCTACTGTAACGGAGGCACCGTTGCCTTGAAAAAGTTGCTAACATTTTGCAAAGCGAACGCTGCTCAAAGGACTAAAAGAAATATTAAAGCTAAAAAATATACAAATAGATAATTATGAAAATAATTAATTAAAGTTAAGAATGTTCAAAAATAAATTCAAAAAAAATGTAATCTAATAACAGAAAAGCAAACAGAAACTGTTGAGTTAATATAGTAACTAAAATGAATAAAATAAAAGTTTTTTTAAAAAACTATGCATAAATGACAGTCAACTAAAATAAAGTCAAGTAAAGTAAAGTAACGTAAAGTAAAGTAAATTAATTAAAAATAAAAATACTTCAAAAATAATATATTAAATGCCAACGGAATCAAAATATTGCATTTAACACAGCAAAACCAACGATTTTATTTAGTTGTAATTCGAAAATGAAACTGTAAATTTCATGAAAAACATATAGAGAAATATTAGTTCGAAATAACAAAATTCAATTTTTAATAAACCCGTCGTATTATTTGATTAAATAATTTAATTGAATGACTTCAAAAGGAAAACTGAAATACTGAAGACACGAAAGCATCGATTGTTTGTAGTTTGTATAGAAAATCTAAAAATACGAGAAATTATTGTTTGCAAAACACAGTAAATACAGTAAATAGTAAAGTTGAAATATTCGTAATACAAAAACATAAAAGAAAAGAAGATAAATAAGTGATAGCAAGCATTATAAATCGAAAGTGCCGCAAGTGAAAGTAACTTAAGTCGAAAAAAGTAATACACAAGATACTAAAGAAGACGACACAGCAGAAAGTCAGAGCAAAAAAAAAGTAATTGGAAACGATTTATCTTTTGTCACAAAGCAAGTGCTCATTTGACGTCCACTTTATGTGCTAAACCGATAAGATCTGCACGTTAGCCAACACTGTCCACAGAGCGATAAACAAGAAAAAACTTAATAACAAATATAAAAGTAAAAGTAAAAATAAAAATACACATTAACTTTAATATAAATAATCTGAACAATTACTGCAAGTAACTAGAATTTTCACAATGTCGCCATTTGCGGGTGTTGACAGCAGCTGTACGCGCCCCTTCAAATACACTGCAACTCATAGATATTTCATACTGTATCTGCTTATCAACATTTGTGTGCATGGTAAGTAAATTGTTAACAATTTATTTTTACAACATTACAAAAATAATCACAAATATTTATTATTATATATTTATCGCACGCACAACACACCGGGGTTCATGTGCTTGTGCCACGATTTATTACGAATAAATGTGTCAAATTGTGCTAAATTGTGTGCGATTTGGGAATGACAGTGTCAGTGTACATATAAGAATTGTCTGTCCTTTTGTTATATCTCGTATTAATACACATGTCAAGGAAGCGATACGATGTGGTGTAATAGTAAAATGTATCTATATTATTTATCTATATACCTATCTATACACGCAATACCGTGCTACGCTGCAGTAGACGAAACTAAAGCTCGTGTAGGTTAAATACAGTCGACATATCTACAAATCTACAAATATCTTGCTAAGATTTTCTGTAGGAATGGCGGTAATTGAAACGGAATACAATTACCGTTTTTCATATTAGCATAACACAATTATATATTGCATTAATATAGATTTAGTTTTGAAAGCGTCTTATAATAACTAAAAAATGGCGATTCAAATGGATGCCACATAAAATATTTGTGTCTGTAATATGGAGTAAGATCACTAACTTAGCATATGATTAAATAAAGTTTTAATTTCTTTTATGATTTCAATTTATTTGTAAATATATAACTTGGCATAATTCTTCAACTACCATCAATTTATTGTACTGCCATCATTTTGAGTGATCCTGCACCGGTTATCATGACACCTTTTCTACCTAT